TAGTTCTAGGATTTCAGTTGCTACAACCTACATGGGTTTCGTGGTAGTGGTTACGGAGACATCTGGGTGATAACATATTTTATCAGAATGATAATAAATCAGATGATTATTCTTTTTATTCTTGGCGGGATTTTATTTTTTTCATTTAAATTCAAATATCTTTAATTAGATAAATTACAACCGTTTAAACAACACTTTTATCTTTAATTTACATGCTACGCGATCATAAAATTATTTTATTTATAATTATAAATATACATTTATTGGTGTCATTATTTATAGAGAGTATGAATAAATAAGTTCACTAAAAAATATTTGTTTTGTACATATTCTTAACAATATTTATTTTTAAACTATTGTAATTATTAGATCATGAAAGAAGATTACATCTTTGATATTCATAAAAAATCATTAACAACTGATTTAAATTGATTTTTTTTTAAATTGTATTCGCTACACAGTTTATAAACCGATTTTAACTATAAGTTGGTTTTGGTTGTAGTTAATCTCTTAGAATTGATAATTTTATAAAGCCAATGAATAAAACGGTGGACCAATAAATATCTTAAAGTTGATTATTTTGAGGATATCAAATATTAAATTTTTTTTTAGATAACGTACTATTAAGTATTATTTTCCTCTAAATCAAATTTTTAAACTAAATTCTCAAATAACTAAATAACTAGTAACAATTACATAATTTATATCTAAGTAAAGAATTTTCCATGATCAACTTTTAGCACTAAAAAATCACAACAAAACTTTAGAAGAGAATATTTACGGCGAAACACTATCGTCGCCAACGGCAATACTGATTACTGATGGCGGAAAGTGCTAACCGGAAACCACTATTTTCCAGGTGACCGCTGTTCATTGACAACTGTTCACCACACACACAAAAAAAAAAAATTAATTGTATATGAATATGTTAAATAAATTTTGGATAATATAATATTGAGTATTATTTTTCTGTGAAGTCATTTATTAGAGGAGAGTGTTACACTTTAATAAATATTTAACAAACGAATACTGTTTAATTATATTATAATACACATGATTCAGTTTTAAATCAATTAATGTCACTTTAAAAATCAATCGTTCCGAGAAGAAATCTATGTTATATTGGTCATCTTTTTATTCTATTCTTAATAATTAAACGCATTGTGTCAACTCTAATATCAAGTGTAAAAAACTATATTAATATTATACCAAAAGTCAAAATGATATTTATACATCTATAATTTCTATATTTTATGTTTACTTATTAATAAACATTGTAAATTAATGTTGCAGGTTTTGGAAGATTTGCCCCATTTACAGGAAATAAGGGATTTTTTTTAAAATTTTTAAGGATATTGTCTTCAATTAGATAAAATTGTGATCTTATGATATATCATTGAAAAAAATCAGTCTGGTGAGATATGAAAAAAGTAGTAACAGTCAAAAAAAAAAATTAAACACATGGTTAAATTAAAACTTTTATAACTATGCATTGAAGCTAAAAAATTACTTATAATATATTATAACATAACAAAATTCATCTAATATTTATTTAATTATTTTATCTTACTCATATTTATTTAAAAAAATACAATAAAAAATAAAAATATATAATATTTATATATATAAAATATCGAAATATTAGTTTCTATGTTGACCAAAGATATAAAAAGGAAATTCAGTAGATTAGAAAAATTCTTGTACTTGACTTATAGTTACACCATTAAAAATAGAAATTGGTACTTAAAATAATAAAATATGATAATTTAGTCATGTCGTCTCCGTCATGCTTAAAGTGTAAAAAATGACTAAAATATATATTTGAAAAATTATTAAATATAAAAAATAATAAGAATTCAACACATCATTGGTTGTGTTTTAAATTTGTTTTGAACCTATTCATAAAAAGGTTATGCTAAAAATGATGAATGCAGATTTCCCTTATATGGAAAATTTGCTATATTTAAGTAGTTTTTTCCATTAGAGGTGTTAGTATGTGTTTAGCGTTGTTAATGTTAATATTATTCTCGAAATCCGTATCCGTGAATTTTTAGTAATTTTTTTAGTTTTAAATCGATAATATAAGCCACAAATGATCAATTTTAATATATAAAATAATATTAAAAATAAAAGTGAATATTAACATTTTTTGTATCTTTAACCCCTTCTTCCGAAATAAAGCCTAAATACATGTGATGTTTAAACTTAAATTTAATTTATATTAATAATTTATAATGTTAATGCAATTAACAGTCCTTGACGAACAAAAAATCTGTAGTTTTTTTTTTAAATAACAAAATATTATACCTCAAGAAACATAATAACTAAACGAGGCGATATTAACCGAATGAATTTAATGCTATGACATATTTACGGTGGGGGGGTCTGGGTTAAGTTCAGAACCTTAAATTGTTACCTTTCGAAGAGAAGATAATGTTTTTTATATAAGCTTTCTTAAAATAAAATTGAAAATACATCACTGATTTTATGTTATACCACATAAAGGCGACGACTACTATGTTTATCCTATTACATCCATATAGCATAATAATACATTTTTGGTGTGAGTGATTTTAATATTAAGTATTATGACCTTATAACACATGATTCAAATTATTACTTAATAAACTGATAGAAAAGAATGGAACTAGAAGTATTATGGCCTTAAAATATACCTTAAAATATAAATAAAATACAGATATCATTATTTTAAAGATACTGTCGTCTTCACTAACACCGAAGGTAATAACATAGTAAGATTTTATTGTAAAATTATTTTAAAGTTGATTCTATTAACTTTAAAATTCAAGAAGTTTTTTACTCTTATCAATGGAATTATTTAAGAATATTCATTATATTAACTAAAGACATTTTGTGATAAAGAATGAGTTCTAAAAATATCTATTTTTTCTTAAATGATCAATGTTGTGAAAATCACTTCGAATTTTTTATCATTGCCTTTGTTCACCATTCATAAATTGATTTTTAATGGTTAATTAAATATTTTGAAGCGTTATTAATTTTCTAAGTTCTAATTAATTTAAAAATCTTGCAAAAGAAAAATAAATTATTTTGTAGTTAAATGAAAATAAAAACATATGTAAAACTGGATATTTGTCCTTGAATGCTGTAAAACCGTTTATTATATTCTAGTACATCAATATACGCATTATTAGTTGTTGCGGTAGGTGCAGTAGTAGTTTATAGTAAACTGAAAAACGCGATCCAGGTATATTAACTTACATATTACAAATCATACAAATTTTTTCATCGATGTCTAAGTTTTATACTAAGGTTACCCTGGTATGGAGTATTCTATGTTTTTTTGGAATAATCCACAATTCGATGGCCTTATATTTATTTGAAGGTACGTTGTCAATTATATAAGTTTATTTTTACACTTTTATTTATTTATTTTAAATAAACAAAAATACTTTTTTGCTTATCAACTTAGTTTGCAAGACCCCCTTAAAGCGTGGGTGTCGTGCGNGTGACACCCTTAAAGCGTGGGTGACGTGCGGGACACACCTAGTACCTTTAGTACCAACTCTTTATATTTATATAAAATTATCATTAGTTAAAATTCTGTATTTTATTTTAACATTGCATACAACTCACTATAAAAAAATTACAGAAAATATCCGTTACATGTTATTTTTTATTATCAAATGAAAGTTTATAGTCTATACAATAAACAATCTATACAACTAAAAAATAAAAAATGTTAAGACATGAATAGCATGTTTAGGGAATCTCGCAGGTAACTAAAAAGAAATTATTTTACCCTGTTAAGAGAGAATATCTTTGCTAGTCCATTTTAGTTTTCTTGGTAGTTAATATATGTTTATGCTTTAAAACTCTACATTATATAAATACTGGAAAAATTTTATGTACATCTTATTTTTAAAATAAATTTGTATGAATTTTTTGAATTTTATTTTATCTTCGTGACATTAAATAGAATTTTTAATTAACTTTATTTGTCTTTAAAATATTTACTAAATGTATGAAAATTCAACCAATATATTTAAGCGTACTTCTTATAAAATTTAATTTTTACTCAAAATCAAGCTAATTTAAAAACACATTTTTGCGTGATTTTCAAAGAGGTAGATATATTTTAAGGGTACAGGGAATTCAAACACTCCCCATTAGTATAAAATTATTGTACCAGTTTTATTAAACCTTAAGGTCATCAACTTTTCCTCCTCTCCCCTGCATAAAAATAGGTGACTCACTCTATGTTTCTTACTACTTAAATTTTGTAATTAAAAAATATATGATTTATAATATAAAAGATAAGATTTTTTTGTTTAAAAAATTAATTTAGTGAATGCTATTCACTAAAATAATATAAAATTATTAAAATATAAAAATATATACTAAAATATACTAAAATATATATATACTAAAATATAAAATTAAAACATTTTTAACTGGATGATTTAAATTCTGTATTTTACTATTTTTTAAAATAGTTTCTTTGTATTTTTACTTAAGTTTAATTTACACTTAGGTGATATATGTCATAGNAGTTTCTTTGTATTTTTACTTAAGTTTAATTTACACTTAGGTGATATATGTCATAGAGGTCAGAGCAGAAGTGGGTCGGATCATATATGTCGTCGTCTTCAAGATTGTCCTTTAGGAAGTTTTTTAATAAAAAACTATGGTTTACACCTTCAATCATGTTCATTTGATAAAATGAATCCTATAGTATGTTGCCCTCCATCTAAAGTAGATAATAGAATAGATATAAATCAACCAAAAGCACCATTAACTGTAAACTCAGACGTAAAAAATCCAAAACCTTACTCTGCCTCAGAAAGTAGGAATGTGATAACTGGTAATCAGCAATATAAAAATACTCATTATAAAACCTTTGTGTAGTGTGTCAACAATATTTTGATTTAATTTATGGCGACAGAGAAAAATTCGATGAAATTAAGCCTTACACAAGAATGGCCTCACCAGATGCAACGGACATAATTGGTGGTACACCTGCAAAACCTAAAGAGTTATCTCATATGGTAAGAGCTAAACATTTTAAGAAATTTAGAGTGAATACGATTTTTTTTATTTTAAGGCTTTAATTGGTTATGGAAACATATTGGAAAATGTAGAATGGAAATGTGGTGGTACATTAATAAGTAATAAGTGGATTTTGACAGCAGCCCATTGTGAAAAATCAGACAAGTAACTATAACATGAAAAATACAAAGCACCTAATTGTTTAACTTTGACTTTCGCAATATCTTTAAAAATATAATGTTATTTTTTCTGTTTTTTAACTACTTTACTCCTCTCGACTTAATATTAAAATTCTAATAACTTACAAAATACTGATTAAAGTGTTGTTATCGACCAGTCATTTAATTAATTACATTATTTTTTTATTTTTAAGCAACTTAAATAAAATATTTACATTTAAAAGTAAAGATAATAAAATTTTAAAGGGAGGGAAAGAGGGTATGACTATATTTTTTGTGTTAATTTAAGTACTTAGGGATACTGCTGATTTCTGAAAGAAAAAATATCAATTTTTTCTAATAATTTTGAAGATATTGCGCGGGACCTAGTTAGTAGATAACCAAGTATTTGTTTCTATTAAAAAAACTAGAGTTGATAAAATTTTAAAGATGATGAGTAGGTATAAGTACAAATAATTTTTTTTTTGCAATTATAAAAAAATAGGATCATATTAACTATTGAAATGAAAAAGTAATGTTACATTTTATATTTTTTAGGTCATAGTTAAATAATCCCTTTATATATATTTGTAATAATTTATTATTATATTTTATTATTTATTATATTTTTAATTTTAAGATATTTTGCGAAATATGTCCGTCTTGGAGATCTTGATATTGAAACCGATACTGACGATGCAAAACCAAGTGACTTTGAAATTATTCAACGAGTAATTCATCCTAATTATAAGCAAACCGTGTCTCGCTATAATGATATAGCGTTATTCCGTTTAAACAAAGATGTCAAATTGTCAGAGTATATACGGCCTATTTGTCTTAATTCTGATCCATCTCTTAATTTTTATGAAGTAATAGCTTCAGGATGGGGTCAAACGGAGACAGGTATAACTAATTGTTAATTGTATTATACTAATTGTTAATAAAACAGTATAAATACCCATAAAATCATATCAGGGATGCTTAAAACTTCTAAATCACAAATTAATCTTTCCCATTTTTTTGAAATTTTTTTTTTTTTAAGGTGACAAAAAATAAAAATTTTTGATCGGAAATTAAAATAATTTTAGAAACCATAAGATTTAGATTAAATGTGTGTATATAGTAAAAGAGAGTATAGAGTATATAAAGTACGAGTTTGACAAACGAAAACACGAGGTAGGTGAAATGAGGAGATCAGTGACAATTAGCGAGGACGTGATAAGAGAGGTGGAAAGTTTTAAGCATTTAGGATCAGTTGTGAAAAAAAATAGTGGTTTTGACAAAGATGTAAGACATAGGATTATGTGTGTGTATGTGAAGTGGAGAGAGTGTCTGGTTTGTATACCATAAAAGAATTCCAATGAGACTGAAAATTAAGTTCTATAAAACTGTAGTGAGACCAGCTATGATGTATGGTTCAGAGTATTGGGTGATTGACAAGAAAGTAGAGTAGAGAATGATTGGAGCAGAGATGATAATGCTTAGATGGATTAGTAGAGTGATCAAAGAAGATAAGATAAGAAATGAACATATAATAGGGAGTATTTGTGTAGTTTAATAGGTCAATATAGGTCAATCGTGGATAAGATGAGAGAAAATAGACTTGGATGGTTTGGTTACGTTATGAGGAGACAGGAATCGAAAACTGTAAAAAAAAGTTATAGAAATGAATGTTGAAGGAAAAAGAGGTAGAGGAACATCAAAAAAGAGATGGAGGGATGTTATTATGTGACATGAGGACGGCTAATGAGAGCGTAGATGATGTGGGAATTCATTTCATGTGGAAGTTTAAGATAAGAGTGATCGACCCCAAATAGTTGGGAATAAGGCGAGGAAAAAGAAGAAAATAAAGAGTGCGTCTATAAACACATTTGTTTTATTTGATTTTATTAGATGGTCCATCAAGTACTGATTTGTTAAAAGTTACACTGTTAGTCAAATCCATAAATGAATGTAACCAAACTTATGGAGTTCAAAATAAACTCCAAAAGGGTATTATGGGCGATAGTCAGATATGTGCTGGTGCCAACGAAGATGGAAGAGATACTTGTTTTGTAAGTATATTTTTCTTATAAGTAACACTGTGTTGTTCAAAAGAGTTTTAATTATTTTTATATGTACAGTTTTTTTATTATTGATTATTATAAATNGGAAAACACGAGGTAGGTGAAATGAGGAATCAGTGACAATCAGCGAGGACGTAAAAAGAGAAATGGAAAGTTTTAAGGAGGGATGTTATTATGTGAAATGAGGACGGCTAATGTGAGCGTAGATGATGTGGGAAATCGTTTCAAGTGGAAGTTCAAGATAAGGGTGATCGACCCCAAATAGTTGGGAATAAGGCGAGGAAAAAGAAGAAAATAAAGAGTGCGTCTATAAACACATGTGTTTTATTTGATTTTATTAGATGGTCCATCAAGTACTGATTTGTTAAAAGTTACACTGTTAGTCAAATCCATAAATGAATGTAACCAAACTTATGGAGTTCAAAATAAACTNGTAACCAAACTTATGGAGCTCAAAATAAACTCCAAAAGGGTATTATGGGCGATAGTCAGATATGTGCTGGTGCCAACGAAGATGGAAGAGATACTTGTTTTGTAAGTATATTTTTTTTTATAAGTAACACTGTGTTGTTCAAAAGAGTTTTAATTATTTTTATATGTACAGTTTTTTTATTATTGATTATTATAAATCATTATTTAATTTAGGGGGATTCCGGTGGTCCTCTCCAAATAAAACATCCAAAGCTTACAAATATGTATATTCAAGTCGGAATTACATCATTTGGAAAATATTGTGGAGATAAAAATTCACCCGGAGTGTATACTAGAGTATCCAAATATATTTCTTGGATTGAAACGGTAGTATGGCCACCAAGATTAGAATAATGTAATGTACATATAAACAGTTATCTATTATTGACATCCTTATTATGAAGAACTATTTAAAATAAATAATTTGTTTTGATTTAAATTAAAATCTAAACATTTATCAAAAGCTATAATTTTAAGATATTCAAGAAGATGCATTCTAACATTAAAGTAATGATACTTTTAAAATAATAATTATAAAGAATATTTATGAAAATAACTGAAAAAGTTATATTATTTCATGTAGAAAATAATTATTCAGGTTAAAGTAGATTTTTATTGTCCGTTCCGTCGAGCTAACATAAGCAATAAAGGCAAAACTACGATACGATCCAATAGCTCGTCATAGGTAGAGTTTAAAAACGTATCTTTAAAATTTTAGAGAATTATTTATCATTATAATACAAAAATATTTTTTTAAATAAGAGAAAATTATAATTAGCTCCCATTTTTTTTTCAACTCCGCCCATGGTTCTGACCTAATAATTTGAATCTCATTTTCTTAAAAATGAGCACAAAATTTGACCAGATCTACAGATATAACATTACAAAATTATTAATTTTAAACAATTATGAAGTAAGAAATATAAATGAGCTAAATTAAAAAAAATAATAATAATAAGTTAAGTATGTTAGAATCCAGCATGTGGAATAGAGACATTTTTTTTATATGAATATTGATTGATATCTGACAGTGATTAAAATCATTGTTATAAAATACTTCGATACGTATTGAAAAATTTTAAAAAACAGTTTCCAAACCAATATATTTCAAACAATTTCATAATATTTTAGAGACTAATTTTTCATAAAATATAAATAATCGTAATGTTTTTTTTGTTTAATTTTAAAATTTGATTTAGTTTTAATTGACATTATATATTTGCTATTTAAAAAACTATTAATATCGATCATTTTTATTACAGATAGTAGTTTGATTTTTGGTTTTAATACCCAATAACTCCTAAAAATCAAGATTTTGAATAGATTTTTATTTTTCATCTTTAAGTATTAACTTTAATTGTAGGAACAATTTGAAATAGAGGTTGAAATTAGAAACCTGGAGGTTTCATGCCCAATATGGGAGGAGGGTCGAAAAAATATGCGGGACAAACTCTTAGTCAGCGTCGTACACTTGGTCTTCTTGTACGGTGTAGGTAGTTATTCTCAAATATTTGCTCATCAGAGAAATCTTACTCATGTCGCAGAGAGGTGCAGCATTTGGATCGTTTCGGCTTACCGAATGGTATTCGTAATGGCAACGGGTATATATTCACTATATATAGTCACTACCGCCCGCCGATTTACTGTTGGAGGAACGAGCTACTAGATATTACCTTTACCTGTAGCGTGGCTGGTCTCAATACCGAAAACGGCTAGCACTTTGACATATGACCATGTTCTGATGGCGGGCTCACCTCTCTGGAGAATTGAGAGGCAAATGGAACAGGTTCCTCGTCAGATCCAACTTACTGGAAAAGTGTGTTAACCGGACAGACAGTGAGATGACTTATCGTCTCATCCAATTGATGTCCTGTCACAATTGCTTTAATGAATATCTCCACGATATTTGTAAGGCAGCCACGACGATGTTCGACCACTGTTTGGATCGACTGCACACTCTCTTTCGATGCGTAGCGAAAGCCTAAAAGCGAATATTTTTTCGATTCGATGTTAAAATCGTTATGTATTGTAACATTTTGCAAAATAAATTTTTTTTAAATTATAAGATAAAAAAAAATATTTTTATTAAATTATACTATAGATGGCAGAATTAAGTTTAGCATTGAGTGGTCAGTGAAATCTAATATTTAAAAAAATATTTTGTCCTCCAATAAAAAATGTTTGTAGACGTCCTTGAAAATTTAATAGGAATTAGTTATGGGAATTATCGAAAAGTAACTATCGAAATATCTGATAGCTGTCTACTCTTCGAACTATTCGATAGTCATTCGTAAGCTATTGGAATAGAAAAAATATTCAATGTCCAATATATTCCAATTTTATTCAAACTATTCTATAGTTCTATAAATCTTTGATAGTTTATGCTAAAAATAAACTATTCTATTGCAAAAGAACAATTCAAATAGTTATTTGATAGTTTTAAATAACTATCGAATATAGTTCAACAGTTTCAAATAGTCGAAAATGCCCATAACTAATAGGAATATTTATTATAATAACGTTAAAAAAGAAGTCAAAATACGCAAAAATAAATATTTTAACTAGTTATTTTTATAACTTAGAATGATCACAGTTCATTGAAAATTATATTAAATAATAGATAATATATTTTTTTAAAGATGTTTAGGTAAAACAAGATATAGCGTCCTATCATAGGACGTTTCTTATAGGACTCCAATAAGAAACGAATGGCGACCGCCACAGAAATAGAATTCGTGACATTACGTGCCTATTTAATAACACCCGTCAACAACGCGAAATATAGACAAAAAATTCGCCAACAAAATTGTTGTTATTTTTTTGTTGGGTAGTACTTTAATATAACTCCCATGCTAAAAGATTAAACCTTAATTTATCTAATTGTGACTAAAAAAAATCATTAAAAATATTCAAAAATACAATCTAAAATTTTTTTAGCTTAATATTCATATGGTTTAGTTTCATTTATGAACATAAGTATTATGTTAATAATTTCGGAAGACGTCAAATACAAATCATTAATAAAAAAATAATAATAAAAAACCCAACACAGGGGGATCGCGGCATAGTGGTGACGTAGCATAGTTAGATTAAGTATAATAATATCTGACAGTGATTAAAATCACTATCATAAAAATCGCTTCGATCAAATCTTTAGATGTTGTTTAATTAAAACAAATTGGTGGCTTATTCCAAAAGTTATATATGATCTGCTATGTCCTTATTTATATCTTAATTAAGATAAAGTATATCGAATAAAAAACTTTTCAAAAAGTTATAACATTTTAAAGTTAAAAATGTAAATTATAAAATCGAGAATTTTAACACAAAAATAGCATACAGTAGCCATTTTTACCATGAAGACAAAATAAAGTCCGGAATTTATTTTTCCATAATAAAATACATTACATTAGCTTTAATTTAAGATATATATAAAAGTGTCAGATTTCCGGGACACTTTCAAAAGTTAAGTGTAAAAGTAAATCTTTTGTGAAAAAGTTGTCATTTTAAATCCCCCCCTGTGAGCAGGTAAAGGGTCAAATTTACAAAAAAAAAATACCAAATGATAGGTAAAGACATCAAGCATCTATAAAAAAAAATTATATTGATATGTTCATTTTTGAAAAAGTTACGGCAGTTTTTAGTAAAAAAAATTGAAAAAATTTCGAAAATAAGCGTTTTTTAAATTTGTAATTTTTTTTGGAGGTTTCCCCCATTTACGGGAAACGAGCGAAAATTTTCCAATTTTTGAGGGTAATGTCTTCGACTAAATACGATTTGTGTCCTTTGACGTATCGTCAAAAGAAATCGGTTCGGTGTGAGCTGAGAAAAAGTGGTGACACAAAAAAAAAAAAAAACACATCATAATAAAACTAGTACCTTCTTAGATTCGCATCATAACTAATACAGAATGTTAAAATTTCTTCACTATAAAACTCAATACAAAACAAAAAAAGTTTTTGTTATAATTGATAAATACTGTAACAAATATTTTGAACTGATAAAAAAAGTTTTATTAAATTTTGGAAAAATGAAATTTAATAAATAACATAAACTTGTGTTAAAATAAATAACTAAAAAATTATGAGCATAGAGAATTTAAAGAATAAATTTGTTAGATAAATCGGACTATGACGACTAAGTTTTCTCTTTTGATTGTACACTGTAAAAAAATTTTTATATGAGAATGACCATGGGTTGTTTTTTTTTGTAGCTATATCTTTAATACTTTCTCTTTATGGACCTATTTTGTAAAAAATAACGTCTGCACATTTGCCTCTTTTTGTAGCTATAGTCATAAAATTTGTTAAAAACATACAAGACATTTAAACTACTTAATATTCACATCAATGAGGTTTGTCGTTCGGCATTTAAAAAGAAAAGTCTAGTTAAAACATCATGTAGGTTTACACTAATTATTTAATAAAAAAAATATTAAAAACAATTTTAGATAGATTTTTGTTTAATAGAATAATATTAAAAAGTAAAAAATAATGACCTTGAACTGTATTATTACATTATTTTGTTTCTTATTAATTAAAATTTAACATTACAAATATGTAATGTGTAATACATACATAAATATGTATCTATTTCTTAGTTAAGTTTAGATAAACTTTTATACAACATTATCATATGATTTACCTAAAAAAAGGTGGGGAATTAATGTTTCCGTATTCAATACTAATGTTCATTCTATCAAATCATATAATAAACACGTTGTTATGTTTGCCATTGAAATACTGTTGATTAATTTTTAAAAATGTTCATCAATGTAGTTTTTTTCTTTATACTGCAAAATGCATTTTTCATAACAAGTTTATCCTCGGAGTGTTGGACTACAGGTTGCCAACTAGATACTTGGTCTGTTAGAGGATGTCAAGAATATAATATGAGAGAAGTAGGTCGTCAACCGTGCTATAATGGTTTAATGTTTACATGTTGTAGCTATACAGATGATGGTAAGTTTTTTAGAATTAAAGTAATCTTATTACTGATTTTACGGTCACGAAAAACTTAAAACTATTTTAGTTTAAAATAGCTTTCTATTAAAAATTTCGACAACATTTATTCAAAATTCTTAAAATTTTATAAATTAATTCTATATATTTTTTGCAAGTACAATATAATATTGGGAAATCTAGTTTACCCAATTTTCTCAATTCCTTAGAAAAAACTCGTTAACCTTAAAAATTTTTGAATACGTCTTTACAAGTCATGTATGGCTCAGTATGACAAAATTATTATAAATATTGTTCTACATTAAGATATGATAAATTAAATTTTTGCTAAAAAAAATGATGTGTTAATTGCTGTTTATTTTAGCTATAACTTTTAAAGACCCTTTGAATGACAATGGAAGTTTATGCTGGGAAACAGGATGTCAGCTTAATAGTTGGACTATTAAGGGATGCGAGGAATATAATATGGTCACTATAAAATCAAGACCTTGTGAAAATGGAAAACACTATTATTGTTGTCATNTGTGAAAATGGTAAACACTATTATTGTTGTCATTCAAATGCACAAGAAACTTCAAACGTCAAACCAACAATACCATCTAAAATGACGACAAAATCTCCTCCACTCTTATGTGGAATAAATAATCCTGATGCACATCTTAGAATTTACGGAGGAAATGCGTCTCAATTAGGTACTCGAAATATATTTTTCTTATAGTTATTTAATATTTGACTTTACTTATTGTTATGATTTGGAGTATGATGACAAAGTTAATCTTTTATGATTTTTTCTGTCTTCTGTGAATCGATTGAAAAACTAAAACTTACATAATAACTTTTTCCATATTTTATCCAATATCATAATTTTTGTTATTGTCTCTTTCATCTTCTAAGGTTAAAAATATGAATTTTCCTAAAAATTACTATTTTTATCATCTTTCTCCAACTTTGCTTGTATTTGTGTATTGCTAATGTATTGCTTTGTGCGATTTATTTTGAGAAATACATGATGAATTTATCATATTTTCTTATTCGTCAACTTAACCCATCTTACCTTACAAAACATATTAATTATAGGTGATTGGCCCTGGATGGTTGCTTTAGGAATCAAAGAAGTCGAAAAAAAAAATCGCATCCAAAAATGGCCATGTGCAGGAACATTGATATCAGATAGACATGTCTTGTCAGCAGCTCATTGTTTTTCACGAAAACATCAATTACAATTGTATGTTTAGGTGATTAAGTATGAACTAAAAATGGCATTTTTTTAAAATTTTTTTGGCTAACTAGATAAGATGAAGGATTTAATTTGTATTTAGGGAATATGGTATTATGAGCCCTTTATTGATATCCATTTTTATGTGATTATAGTAATAGTGATGCAATGAATTTAAGACTGAATAATCTTATAATATGATACATATGATTTAGAAACACAGCAAGATTTGGTAATATAAATCTTGACCCTAATATATCTGATGGCATGTCATCTACGATAGACATTGGAATAAAGAACATAACGGTTCACGAGTTATATGATCCTAAAAATACTACTCATGACATTGCACTTTTAGAACTAGAACTACCAGTGCACTTTAATGGTAAGATTATAAAATTAAAATATTTAAAAATTAAGTATACTTTTTTCTATTTAATATTAATATCATGTATGTATATAATTCCTTAATTAATATAAAATAATTCATAAAACAATATTTCTTTAAAAAGAAATTGCTATTAATTATACATTATATTTAATTGTATTCTAATATTTTAAAAGTAGCAAATTTTTAAGTGTTTTTTTTTTGCACGTAAATTAGAAATTATGTCTCAAAAGCTACGAATTCAATACTTTGTATATATAAAATATTGGCTAATTGACTATAACAATACTTTATTTTTTTTGTTTCACACGGTCGACATAATGTTGGCTGCCCTGGAACTACCGTGAGGTATTGCTTCAGGGCAAAACTATAACAATACTTATATACTTTGAAAATTCTCGTTCCTGTAAACTAAGAATACTTATGATATAGAATATATCATTATTTTATATTTTTTATAGCAAAAAAAAAATGAAATAAAATAAATTTTGTAATAATTTTAACTCAACTTTTTATAAATGTAATATATATGTATATGCATTATTATATATAGAACTTTTTAGGTTTTAAAAGGAGTTATTGGAATTTTATAAGAGTTAAAAGCCTTCTTTACATAAATGTCCGATTATATAAAAGTTATAGTATTTGTCTTATATGATTCAATAATATTTGAATTTTTTTTTAATCAAAATTAATTAAGTTGTAATGAGTTAATTAACTTGGATAATAATTTCTTTGATTTTTTTTAGAGTTCATTCAGCCAATATGTTTACCTGGGAGTGTTAATTTTTCCGATGACACCATGTTGACTGTTGCTGGTTGGGGTACAACTGCAGAAGGTAAAAATTTATATACTATAAAGTTGTACCATGGAATAGAAAGAACACTAGCATAATTACAAGAGAATATAGGTGTCATATCCCACCAAGACAAAAATAATTACATGATGAAGATATCATTTTTTTTTGTTTAGCAAAAAAGGTGAAAAATTTTCTTATGCAATTGTTTTATAATTGTCCATTAAATTTCTTCTATAATAGTAGTAGTTTTGAAAGTTTTGGGGCTTTTATTAGTAGTATTTATTTCTAACCTATTTATTTATCCTATTCTAAGTGATTAATTATTTTTAGGTTCATCTTTAATATCCTTTATAAATGTACCAACTTAAATATTTAATGGTAATATGGGTACAATTTTTACTAAATTTAAAATATTGACTGAGGTGAGGATTTGGTCTTGCTATTTTTATCACTAGATATTTCCCGATCGTACTCTTCGTGTCACCTTTGTATAAAAATTAGAAAAAATTCCAAAGTACTGGTCCAAAAATTGACACCACATTAAGTTATGAGGAATGATTCTAGAAAGTTATTACTTTTCAATAAATCAATAAATATATTTTACTAAAAGAAATCATTTTATATATGGGTGGGAAGAACGGAGCTAGAGTCAGAGTAACGGGTAATGATAAAAATAACATAAGTCTCACTTTGCTACTCGTTTATATTTTAAACTGTTGTTAATTTACATAATAATAAAAATCTATAGGTTGTTTTTTGAAAGTTTAGAATTAAATTTATTAAATAAATTATTCTCTCTTGAAATTGTTATGAAAATGCTTTTCACACAGATCCAGAAAACACAAATTTAATGCAAGTATCAGTTCCGATTGTGAAGAATAAAATTTGTAAACGCTTGTATTCTCATTTACCAATTGACGAAAAAGTTATTTGTGNTCTCATTTACCAATTGACGAAAAAGTTATTTGTGCTGGAAATTTAAAAGGAGGACAAGATTCATGTCAAGTATATAAGTTATTATATATTATTATAACACGAAAAAATAATTTTTAAAAACGTTTAAGACTGTGTAAAATATAAACATTATAGACTTTTTACTTGGGACTTTAAATACTTTTTTTAATGGGAAATTATGTGGCATAATCAGTTGCCGCTATAGCACTAGTGTTTAGCTGTACTGTTAGCTATTAGGTCTTAGATAGGTTACTATACAGGAACTTAAATAGTTACTCACGCATTTTTAATTATTATTAATATTGCTCAAAATTTGTAAAATACATAAAAAAAGAAAATTTAAATTGCTTTAATATGAAAAATCGCAAGTAATCACAAAATATTTTAGATTATTTATGGATTGATAACTTTACTTATGAAACGATACATTTATTCTATGGATTTTCTTAATTTTTTGAGATTAATTTGTGCATTTC